TTTTTTTTTAAATAAGATTAAATTGAAGATCAATAATGGTAGTTAGAATAACGATAAATAAGATTAAATTGAAGATATAGTTAGAATAATGATAAATAAGATTAAATTGAAAATTAATAATAGTAGTTAGAATAACGATAATATTGATAATGCACATCCATTGCCTAATATCATAAGAAATAAATACTACGTGTTAATTAAAGTTTGTCAAACCTTTAACCTAAATAAGTATAGCTTAAAATAATTTAAAGTGCCTAGCTATTTAATAGAGAGATATATATATCTGGCCATAAAGAAAAATGAGGACTCATCTCAATTAATGCATTTTGTCAATGCTAAGTTTCAAAATGATCATATGGCGATCAAATGTAGCGCATTTTTTAAACCTCAGTAGAGTAAAAGGAGTTTACTAATTTTCCACCACATTTCTGATTGGTTCTACTAATTATTCACATATCGGAGTGTCTATGCTATCGCTATTAATCAATTTTATGGTACTCCGATAGTGGTGTGGGGAAAATTAGAAAACTCGAGTAAAAGAACCCTTTAAAATTCGCCTTGTAACCACAAGCATTTATAGAAATAGTGACGTTTTTGATGTCGCAAGGCACTCGGGTACATCATATGTTCAAAAAATAAATTTATAAGCTGGTCATATTTCAAAGCCCAAGTAATTTACTAAGCCAATCCAGTTAGACTCAATTAGACTAAAGCGTAAGTTAGTAAATAAATGAACTCGGGCGGTTGATGTAATTAATAAAAAAACAGCTTTACATATTGTTCTAAGAGGTATTTTATTTACCAAATCAGTAACCTATAGTAACCTATGGCGGGAGTTACCGTTACCATGAAATAATAGAAACAAATGACTTTTTTTGCATTAAAAACATTCCTCACGTGAACATTGTCTGATATGCAGATGACCCTTAGTATGGGGCGTTTTTTGTTTATACTTTACTAATTTGGTTCATTCCCACGATAGTCAAATCGGATGCATTACAATAAAAGTTTTATACACACTATACACACTATACACACATGTTAAAGTGGCTTTTATAACCGCACGTACACGAACGTGCATACGGAAATACTTATTTGTGTGTGTGATACAAAATCAAAAAGACAATTTTAAAATAAAATTAAATACATAAATTTAATAAAATTTGAAATTTGGGTTAGAAAATTCAAGGCCATGGAAATAAGTAATCAATTACTATATGTGAAATTTCATTCCCGTCATTTTTGATTAGTACTTTAAGGGCGATTTAAACACTCATTTTTTAATATTTTCGCTTTTTCATTTGTTTTTCCAGTTTTTCTTCGCTTTGGGACACGTGCCGTACTAATTCGGGTATACGTCCTCCAACTGGCTAATTTCCCTTTTTGGGTTTGTGTCACTCATACAAATAAGTACACTCCGTGCGAGAACGTGAGGGATATAAAATAAATTTGATACCGATACAAAGTGGAATTGTACTCATTTATATTCTCTTCCTGATGGCAACTTACAAGTATCTCAAGGGTAAAAATGTCGGAATTATTGGTTGTCCCTTCAGTGGTGGGCAGGTAAGTTATTTGCTTCAAAAGTCTATTAAACAAGTTTCATCCTTCATTAATAATTGTTTAAAAAGCCCAAGGAGGGTGTGGACGAAGGTCCGATAAAAATGGTTGAATATGGTCTGATAGAACAACTTTTAGAAATGGGATGGAATGTGGAATTTGATGGCCATCATAAATTAACCGATCTTAAACCAGCTGAGGATCCTAATATAGGAAAACTCAAAAAACCTCGATATGTTTCGCGGGTAACTAAAGCAGTTGCTGAAGCCGTAGAATCAAACCTTAGAAAAGGGCAACTGGCACTTACTCTTGGAGGTGATCACAGCCTTGCTTTAGGTACGGTCTCTGGTACTCTCTCCGTTTATCCCGATGCTTGCCTTATCTGGATCGATGCCCATGCGGTATGAATACGTTTTCAGTTAATATTATATGTTGGCTCCCTATTATTTACGACAATTTTTGCTTTCTATTTTGTTACAAATATAACGATTAATAGGATATTAACACTCCTGAAACTACCGATTCTGGTAATTTACACGGTTGCCCTGTATCTTTCCTGCTGGCAGTTGATGACTTGTTTCAGGAGAGAATATCCGAGTTTTCGTGGTTGAAACCTCGACTCCGACCCGATAGACTCGTATATATTGGATTACGAGATGTTGATCCACCAGAAAAAGAGATTTTAAAGAAATACGGAATCAAAGCTTTTTCTATGTATCACGTAGATAAATATGGGATTGGAAAGGTTGTGGAAATGGCCCTTGATGCTGTGAATCCCAACAGAGATCTTCCTATCCATCTTAGTTTCGATGTTGATGCGCTAGATCCGACGGTTGCACCGAGTACTGGTAAATAAATACACCATTACACATTTGAATTACGATGCAATTCTCTGAATGATTATATTCATTTGTTTCTTTGATTATAGGTACTCCTGTTCGTGGTGGATTGACCTTCAGAGAAGGTCATTACATTTGTGAGGCAATTCATGAGACTGGTCTTCTCGTTTCAGTTGATTTAATGGTGCGTAATCTATGATTTCAGTGTTTACCTTAATATTAACACTTATTAACACTTATTTATACTTTATAGGAAGTAAATCCATCCCTTGAAGATGAAGTAAGTGTTTTTGAAACAGTAACGGTTGGTTGCTCATTGGTTCGCTGTTGCCTCGGTAATTATTCGGTTCTTTTTGGCTTATGGTTTTTTTGTAATTATCATATTTGACAATATTTTAAATTTTTTTTTCATATTGTAGGCGAGACTTTACTATAAAACTATGAAAAAATGTATGTGTGCAGCCTTTGATTTTGTAATTTGAGGCGATTTGGTTCAAGGAGCATTTATAATATTGCTGAAAAGCGAATACCAATAAATCAGAATTTGAACCGTTTATATGTGGCTTTCGCAGTTACATATATAGTTCACGTGATATACCGTTACATTTATAAGGAGGGCTAATTCTGAAGTGATTTATTATGTAATTCGTTTTTTTGTTTAATAAGTTTTTATATAATAGATTATTTAATATATCTTTGACTTGAATAAAGTTTAGAAAATTGACATTTTCACACTTTTTTTTTTCTTTTTTTTTTTTGATAATGCCAAACCCCTGTAATATAAATTTTTAAAGGCATCTCAACGTGCGTCTAGCCAAATTTGATGAAAATTTTTTATTTGAATTCTAGAGATATAGAATTCAAATAAAGAAGTTTCAATGTAGATGTCAAGATGAAAATTTTTAGAAAAATCTTTGCCATTATTTTGTTTGATGAATAATTTGAATTTTTTTTACATGTTTATTGAAGGTATTTTGATATGCATCTAACTAAATCCGATGAAAAATAATTTATTTGAATTGTAGAATCAGATACTTTTGGTAGAAAAGTTATAAATTTTATTTGTTAGATGTTTTTTAAAAAAAGGTTAATAATATAAAATTTTGATAAATACAAATAAATAATATATGATAATAATATATCAGCAATTTTTAAGGTAAAGCATAAGAAGCTAAAACAATATCTCTACCGAATTGTTCATATTTTACGTTTACTAACTTTGGAAAAGTATCATTAATTTCTTCCTATAAATAAAATAAAAACTTAGTAATAATAATATAATATGATAATTATTAAACTGATTAAATTATTTTTATATTACTTCTATTTGACTGTCTGTTGAATTTTTATCGATGGCTAAAATTCCATTTGCACCAATAAATACTGGAGCAATAGTAACAATCAATAAATCTACCATGTTACTTTTTAAAAAAGATTTGATTATTTTAGCGCCACCTTCTACCATTAGTCGACGAATTGAGAAGGGTGGTAAATATAATATTGATAAAAGATGAGGAATTGAAAGTTGCCCTAGTATATATTTATTGAATTTAATATAATAATAGCTAAAATACTCTTGAATCAAAATAAAAAGAAAAACCATTTTTGTTAGATTCAATTGGGACAACTACTGCTCCCTCTTGTTCCAGCAACTATATAATAAATATAAAAATTAAATAATAACTGTAAAGATTTTAGTAATAAAAATATATATACCTTTCGTTTATCAGAATCATGCTCATAACTAGTAAAAATTAAAGGCGATTTATGTCCATTCATCTTAGATTGTAACAATACTTTTGATGAAAGAGGAAATCGTAATTGAGAATCTAGAATTATTGGTCTTGGCTGACTAATTGTTGATTCTAGTTCACCAGGACCTAATAATCTTGCTACAATTATCAAAATTAGTAAAAATTAGTAAATAAAATTTGGAAATTAATTTTTATATCTTTCAATTTTAATATTTATACCTCTTTGCAATTAAAATTTTTAAACTTTGAACAAAAATATTTTAGCAACCACCTGACTAAATTTGATAACGCTCTTATTGAAATTCTATGGATTCATAGAATTTAAATAAAAACTTTATCGAATTTGACCTTAAAATTTTTTTAAAATATCTTTATTTAAATTTTTTAAAAGTTAAAATTTATCAAAAAAAATTTTTTTAAAAAACTTTGAATAAAGGCATTTTAGCAACCACTAGACCAAATTCAACAATTTTTTTATTTAAATTCCATAGATTTATAAAATTCAATAACAAAAGGTTGTTAAATTTGATTTAGTGATTGCTAAAATACCTTTATTCAAATTTAAAAAATAACAGTTTCTATTTTAATAAATATTTTGATTTTTAAAACTTTAACTAAAAATAACTATCAAATCAAATTTGATAAATATGTTTTATTTGAATTTTAAATTTATAAAATTCAGGTTAAAAAATATTAAACTTGGCTTAATACTTGCTAAAATATTTTTGTTTAAAGTTTAAAAAAATTTGTATCTTTTATTTTTATAGATATTTTAAATTTTTTAAAACCCTTTAACAAAAATATCTCAGCAACCATCAAACCAAATTCAATAAACTTTATTTACCTATTTAAATTTTATAAATTGATAGAATTTAAATAAAAAAATCATCAAATTTGATTATTGCTAAAATATCTTTAATAAATTTCTTTTTTTTATTTAAATTCTATAAATCTATAAAATTTAAATAAAAAAAGCTTATTAAATTTGGCCCAAAATATTTTCATTAAAAGTTTAAAAAATCTAATCTGCAGGGAGTATGAATATCAAAATTGGAGGGTATAAAAAATAATCTTTAAAATTTAAAAGAAAAATATTTTCAAATTAGACCTGTTAATCGCGGGTTATCATTTAACAATGTACCAATGCCGACTAATATGCCATCATGCAAAGTTCGCAATCTAGGAATAAAAATATTAGCTAATGAAAATAAGAGTTCTCTAGCACTGTAATTACCTATGCGTCATTACGAATGATTCTTCGCAGCTTAATGCCAATTGTTGCCCATGATGTCCTGAGATCCTGCCATCAAGACTTTGCGCATAAGTAAGAGTCACAATTGGCCCATTTTTAGATTTAGGATTCACGATGTTTTCTAAAAGTGAAGAACAGAAGGACTTGGCGCGATCGTGAACAGACATTAACTATATATATTAATGATAAGAATAAAATATATAAATTTTATAAAATCTTATTATTTTGTTGCAGGGAAAACCTATCATCAGGGTATCATTGTTATTTCTTACCGGATTCAGTCTGACAAATTATGAATTTAAAAGCCCGAAGTGTGGATTTCCTTTGTTGGCATCCATATAATACGTTATTAAGTATAATATTTCTCACTGTTAAAACTTAAGGTATGTCTAAAACAAAGTATCTCTCGACAAGAAATTTCGATATTATACCTTAACACATTATAGCTGTTCTCAAATTCTGGGGCAAATTAAAAGTTTGCTCGTTACTCGAAATCGTTCTGTAAATCGTCCAGCTCTCCGAAGATTACATCGTGTCTCCGGATTGAAGGTTCGAAGACAGCGATGTAGGGATGTTAGCAGCCCAGTCTGGTCCAGTTTGGATTTGTTTAGTCCAGTTCTGGTCCAGTTTTTAATAGTCTATAATCTTAATAATTAACTGGTCTAGTCTTATGACTAAGAGCAGACCTAAATTTTTTCAGTTTCAGACCAGTCTTAAGGCTAACTGTAGTTCATCAGTTTAGGCCAGACTACATAACATCCCTACAGCGATGTGGTTTCCGGAGAGTTAGGTAATTGACAGAACAAAACCGAAATAATTTCGGGCAACGAGCAAATTTGTCCCAGAATTTGCTGTAAATAGAATAACGCTAATTGCTAATTACCTAATTATTTTATTTTATATCGATATCTTATTTATTTTTATGACTTGATTTATACTTTGTGTTGAAGATAAAATTTTTAAGTAATGCGTTTACTAATTTTTCCTCAAGTTTCTATTGGCTGTCGTTGAATCGCATTTTTGATTGGATGATCCTTAATAATTCCTTGGTATAATGTTGTCCACTAACCCTAATCTTAACTCCGACTAAGATATCACATATAAAAAAATGATGATATGTAAGTCGGTGCAAATAATCCAAGCCAATTACAGCAGTTCCCATAAATTCTGGGACAAATTAAAAGTTTGCTCGTTACCTGAAATCTTTCGGTAAATTACCTAACTCTCCGGAAACTACATCGCTGTCTCCGGACTGAAAGTTCAAAGATAACGATGTAGTTTC